AGATTTTGGGAACAAGTATATTTGGGGATTTATTTTCTACTTTAGATTTAGAAAAGTTGGCGTCTATATTATTTCCCTGCCTCGTCGCAACTGTGTGCATTTCTTTGTCGAGAGTAAATCTGGTTTATTCCAGAATATGTATAACGCCAACTGGTGAATCGCCGGCAAGGTACCGGTAATATTTTATTTCTTTACAACTGTGGGTGTTACTTACCCGCGCCATTGATCTAAGAATTTGCTTATGAGCAATAAAAACATGTTATGCTGCAGCAGAGCATCCCCAAAAACAAATCCATATCTGAGTCTGGACTCCACAAGACCGTCTGACTTTTAGAGAGAACTAAACTCAAGTTTTTAGACAAATAAGAGAGGGAGAGCGAGTTAAGTTGCGGAACCAAGTAGTCGCAATGTACTCTGAAATTCAACTTATCGTCTAGGACAGGGATCGGCAACCTGCGGCTCGCGAGCCGCTTTTGATGTCAAGTTGCGGCTCTTCAGTTCCATGCGCAAATAATAATTAGGTATTATTTTATTTTCAAAACCAAAAAATATTATACTGCAAAAAAAGTTTTTTACTTCATTTCGAAAATGTAAAGCAATATCGCGATGAAACCAATGCAACTATTGACAAGAATTACTTCAGCATTACTATAAAAAAATGATGGATGGATTCGCTGGTAGATTTGAACAATTCGAAACAAACGAAACTACTCTGGCGTTCATAGTAAATCATCTGAACACAAATATAAATAATCAACATTAAGCCATTTGAAACTGATGCTGGTTCGTTTCAAGTGAAATTTCTGGATTTGAAGACCAAACATTTGTGGAGTGATGAGGTCACAGGACTCAAGAGTAATTTAGAAGAGTTAGAGGTTCAAAAAGGCATGCACCTTACGCTTCAGAAGTGGATAGCTCTAAAAAAAACCAGCGAGTTGAGGCACATATATTTGAAGCATGGTCAGTCTTCTAGAATGCTTCAGTGAAGTGAAGAAGTTAGCATGAATATAATAAAAAGTAAAATCAGAAGCCAGCTAACAAATAAAAATCTAGAGGCGTGCTTGAAACTAAAAACAACAAGTTATGAGCCAGATTTAACAAGACTTCCAAAAGGCATGCAAGGCTAATGCTGCCATTGATGGTACACTTGTAAATATTATACAATAATTATAGTTATACTATTTGATTACTAATTTGATTATTCTAGCAAAGCTAGCTAAATAAAACACTTTAATATGTTGTCTTGTGCGAATCATTTGTATGTTTTTATGTGAATAAATATTATTTTATAGTTATTTGGAGCTATTTATTTTAAATCAAAAATCAAATTTATATACCTAATCGTAATCAAATACCTTATTATTGAAACAGAAATGTTAGTTTCTCTTTAAAAACTGGCAAATTTTGTAAATTGTAACTTTGGGCTCTTCCGTCTCAATAGGTTGCCGACCCCTGGTCTAGAAATATTCCCAGAAATTTAACAGCAGCTGTGAAGTTAAATGACGCATTCTTATTTTCAACGTCAGGGATACTTTTTTGTGGAAAGCCAATCATTGGTCTTTGTAATTACTTCATTGTATCTATCATTTAAGATATTTTTCAATTTACTGAAGACTAATATAGATACATCATCCTCATATAGTGTGAACAGCGCCTCCTCACGCACTTACTCAATCTCATTGATACAAAGAATGGACAAAATAGGCCCTTAAATGGAACCTTGAGGAACTTCAATACCAACTGTGACTTCCCTGGATTGGACTTTATGTACCAAAATACAATAGTTTTTAGATTTAAGAATTCTGGCAGCTCTGCCAAGTCAGACTACAGTTTTTCTATAAAGTGAGAAACTATGTGCGTCCTCCAGCGTCCAAGCTACAAGAATGCTCAAAAACCTTATGCTGAGGTCTGGTGTTTGAATCGTTGAGAAACACATAAAGCCATTCTTAACAATCCCAAGCATTTAGGGATGATCCGCCGTCATTAATCGAGAAATCTCAGCATAATTTTGCGCAATTAACTGGTTCTTATTCAACATCGTAAAACGAGTCTACATAATATAAAACATATTGCCATTCACTCGGAACAATGAGGTCTCCTAAGGAACAAAAAATGTCATAAAAAATGCACCATTACCGAGTCGCTTCGCATCCCACTTCTGATGCTTCGTGCCTATCCCATCCAATTTTTTTTTACCGCAACAATATACAAAACGACCGAAACGCATCCCGCCGCACCTTTTTGCACATTTCAAAATACAATAGTTTTTAGATTTAAGAATTCTGGCAGCTCTGCCAAGTCAGACTACAGTTTTTCTATAAAGTGAGAACTATGTGCGTCCTCCAGCGTCCAAGCTACAAGAATGCTCAAAAACCTTATGCTGAGGTCTGGTGTTTGAATCGTTGAGAAACACATAGAGCCATTCTTAACAATCCCAAGCTTTCAGGGATGATCCGCCGTCATTAATCGAGAAATCTTAGCATAATTTTGCGCAATTAACTGGTTTTTATTCAACATCGTAAAAAGAGTCTACATAATATTATAAAACATATTGCCATTCGTTCGGAACAATGAGGTCTCCTAAGAAACAAAAACTGTAATAAAAAATGCGCCATTACGAAGTCGCTTCGCATCCCACTTCTGATGCTTCGTGCCTATCCCATCAAATTTTTTTTACCGCAACAATATAAAAAACGACCGAAACGCATCCCGCCGCACATTTTTGCACATTTCATCGTCAACTCTATTCTCTCACTTTTTCCTAGCCCATTATACGTGTAAATCGGGCGCTGTATCAGTAAATAAAGTCGTCGCAAAAAACGGGGCACAATGCCGCACAGCGCACTTACGCTTTTAATTTAAACCAGAGACAATACCCGAAATTACCATTGAATCGGCTATATAGAGCGTTAAATAAAATTATAGCCGTTGAGAGACAAAACTGGCTTCTGACTCTATCTAAAGTACATTTGCGGCGGCGATAAAGAGGTACAGATGTCGTTAGTTTTCGCAACCAGACGCACTTTTGGTATTTTATGAAACGTTTATTCTCGAAGGCGTTATGTTGTGCTTCAGCGAATAGGCTCTTAGATACATACAGGGTAATTCCAATCTGACGAAAAAAGAAGTCATTCATCATTTATGACAATCTGTCGGTCGGTCTGTTTACCCGCTAATCCTTGACCCCTCTGTATCTTGGAAAATACTGCTCGGATTTTGAGGGAATTTTGACATAAGGTTGCTATTATGCCAATATTGAAAAACACCTTGTAGTTTTTAAGGCTCGATCTAGTGGCAGCGGAGCTAGAGACAAAAAACGGAGAAAATAAATATCCTTCGCTTTTTGACATTTCAGGGGTTTCTAAAATTTCTTAATACAATGAGTGTGTGGGGTTGTGAGTGTGTGGGAGGGTGCGTCTCAGACTTTGGTGATAATATATTTATTAGACATAAGTATTACACGTATAGTTTTTCTGTATAGTTTGCCTTCATCTGACGGGGAGAATAAAAAAGAAAAAATGCTGGGTCTCTTCGACCGCAGACACAGTGGTTCATAGATTCGTGTCTCGGACATGGTCGCCCGAATGTATTTTTTTCTGGCTCGTCGGCTGGACATTGGCAAGAAGAAACTTTCTGTATACTGTGATTATCTATCAGTCACACCGGTTTTTGAAGAACGGAGGTAATAATTTTTGTCGGGGATAACGATATCTCAAAAATTGTGTATGTAGTAGATTTTTGCAGTTTTTAGGAGGTAGCCACATTCTTAGAAGACCGAGAGGCATGGCCCGGGGCTGGAAACTATTTGTATCAGCCTATTTGACTGACTTAAATTTTCTCGTTATACATTACATGTTATCATACTCAACTTTATAAACCGACAACAGCGTATCGCGAGATGTGCAGTCATTCTTTTATGAAGGCATTTTTTATAAGCACATTAGAGTAATTTTACTTCTCACGTCTACTGGCGGTAGTTTATTTTAATTTTTTGACAATATATATATATATACGCCTCCAACTCTAGCAAGTCTACGCATATATTAGGTATGTTTTTCTCATCATAGATGTCCCCGGACCTTTACCATTAAAACTCCTACAGCCAGGTGTCGAAACGGGCGACGTCGTCCTCCGATGAACAAGCGCCGTTGGCGGTCGTATGTCACAGTCGGCAATCGCTTTCGTACTGCTGTGGGCTGAAGGCATCTCAGGGGGAGGAGGAAGGTCATTTAATTTTTTGTTATACATGTTCGCAGCTGACTTTTTTCTAAGAATTGTGATCGAATGATTTTCTTGGGCGCCCGCAGGAGTTATCTTTTCCATGGTCGCCGGTTAGTTATCGGTAAGATGAGATTTCTTGTATGTATAGTATGTGTGTGTATCAGGCCCACTTTTTGGGGAATGCGGAGTAGCAGATTGTCCCAGAAGAGGAAGCCAATGTTTGACATTACAAATTAATATTGTACACATATCATGCTATATGCACATTTTCAAGGTTTGCCAAATGTTTCGGGTGGAGGAGGGTCAGAACTAATATTTATGGAACTTTTACGCAACTCACAAATTTCTGCATCAAGTGAGTTTGTTTACTGGGATATATTATCCTTATCTTAGACCTTGACGTCAAGACGTTACATATTAGTGATCGCAATTATCTGCTACCATAAAACCCATCATGAGCTTTTGCAGATGACAGGACTTTGCGTGCAAGAATTTAAAGTATCAGACTGATTTATCTATCTGATCTTGAAAAAGAAAGAAAGTATTTTATCTAATGAAAGAGCTGGATGTATCTTAAATTATGGATGCAGTAATTTTGTGCGATTAAGAGCTTCTAAGACACCTCAACCATACGATACTTGAGTCATACCTAATCCTATATAATAAAGTATAAATAAAGGGATATTTTTTACAGCAGAAAAAAGAAATTTATGAAATTCAATTTTTGAAAGCGCAAGATATATAAGTCCAATTATATAAAAATATTTTTATTGAGAAATGGCGATGTGGCCCTATTGTGACGTCATACAAATTGTAAGCAAAGAAACGTTATCAGTAACTCACTCGTGGATTAATGATTCCATTGGAAAAAAAGAACATTCATGGACGTTAGGTTCGTCAGAGCAGAAAGCAGAAATTTGACAAAAATTGACACATGTTGTTGGTAATGTTTTTGCCTCGAACCAAGATTTCTGCTAAGCTGATAAACATCAAGACTTACAAGTAAGTAAGGGTACATCTGAAATAATGATAGAGATGAAAAAAAGAATCAGTGATACACTTACATAATCTTCCTCCCCTGAAATCATTCAAAACTAAGCTCTGTCTAATGTTGCATTTTTTCTTACCCATCTACAGCGGAAGTACGGTGATGATGCTGTAGGTGACGTCCAACATAAACGAAACGATATAAGGTATGCCCCAAGCAATACACAGTCATGGGTATATTCATTTCCCATGGCATTCTAATTCGCAGATTACCTGAGATCCCCCAAATTCGTTAGATTAGTTAGAGACGCCTTTTCATTCCTCCAATTTGTGTCAAAAGCACAAATTTTGGTTCCTGCGGGTGTAAATCGGACCTTAGTAAGTTATCATCATGTTTCTAAGTATGTACGGTCAGCAATGAAAAAATATTCTCATATTCCAAATTCTAGGATATATCATACCTCATACGGTACCAAATCCTTAAGCACCGCATAGTAAAGTGACTATTAGGCCCCCTGTGATCTATTGCTATTCAGGAATTAACTCTCAAAAAGCGTTTTTCAATATCAAGTTTGTCCAGAAGACCATCTAAAGAGTTGTGGTTATATCGTAATATGTAGCATTATTTGATTAACAGTGATATGAGCTGTCACGAATAACATCACTCACAAACATCGAACGTCATAAAATGCAAAACCCAATACAGTTCAGACGTAGAAGCAACGTTGCCAGATCAACAGTTGCAGGCTGGTAAGCAGAGCTGGAAAAATGAATTTGTTTACAACTAGAAGTTAGTTTACAAGTTATAGGTACCAAGCTGTAAAAATGCTAATGCCATCTGATGGAGTCCTCAGTCGTGGGAGGCGCGGGATTATGGTAGGTGTGGCAAACTCAACTGTGCAGTACGGAGCTCCTATCTATTACAAGGACTTGACGAAAATATACAGCTAGCATTCAGAATTCAGCGAAAAGTAGAGGTACACGTAATATGCAGTTACATATTGGTGTTGACAGATGCACTACTGGTGGTGGCTGGTATCCCTCCATATGCTGACGAGAGCTGTGCGCTTTGTAAAAAGGGCTCTGAAGCAATAAGCGACGAAAGAGGGGCACTATTTATCAGATGGCAGGAGCGATGGGATGCAATTGTCCTAGGTGCATGACTGATTCCGGATATAAAAACTTGGATTCGTAAGAGAGCGGTGTTGCGGATACTGCGGAGTTCCTCACAGGACATTGTTGTTTTGACACCTATCTGTTGGGGGTAGGAAAGATAGTACGCGCATCGATTTTGTTGCAAATTGGTTTACATATTCAACCAGTAGTGAAGCGGATGATGTTGAGAAACGCTCAGGGGGCAAAAATAGACCAAGTAACAAATAGTAGGTTCCTACTTCTTGCTCGGTTGTACATCTACATAGTACGAATGTATGTATATGAACCATTTAGAGCAGATTGGCATGAAAACCTAGCGCAACGCTATCCCCTATGAAGATATAATGCATTACCGTCTCAGGACGTCTCGCGAATGAGTAAGGAGTTTAAGTGAGAATATCAAACTTGGGGCAGGAAAAGCCGACAGGAAAATACTGTCAAGTTTCTCAGCCTGAGAGTGACTATGAAAGTCTTCTACTATAAAAAACTGCTATTGGAAAACCGGCAGCGTTATTGCTGAAAAAAATCTATAAAACGTCGAAAAAATAATGTCAACGTGTGCTAATAGTACATTCCGGGTTTGCTCTGTGAGCGTCATCAAAAGTGTCCATTTATGGAGAAATGACTCAACGACACGATACACTCAATGACCATGCTACAAGCTGCAAGTCAGTTCCCTATCATGCTTTGTTGGCTGCAGAATACCGAGATAGTCTGTAGAGAATACTTTGAGAGGATGGGTGAAAATTATTACTGAACATGCTACCCAAATATATCTATTAGCTGTGCCGGACGGCTTATTGTTGTCGTCCTTCCTAAGAAAGGTTATGTTTAAAGTTATACATTACAATTGTCCCAGTTTTATTGAGTTTTCAAATACTTGGTTGTGTGCTATTTAGCCACATAACAGAAAACTCAGGAATGACGCATCACATACAAAACATTTTCGCACTGCCTCACATCTAAGCGCTGATTTTGTTTTGTACGTGACATAGTCAAATGAATTTCTATAAAACTTAAATGACTGGAAATATAAATTAATGTGAAATGTAATAGCTTTTTTATGTTTCACAACTGTTCCTGCATGTACCATATTTTCTCACATGTTAGTTCTTATATACTTCAGCAACCAATGATTTTCTTTCCTTATCGCTTTCTTTTTTGAAGTTCAGCAAATTTGCATATGCAATTTCCAAGCTGAATGATGAAAATCGGATGCGCAACTAACTTTTAGCTCTGCACACATCTCAAGTACATGTATTTGAAACAAAAAGACAATAAAGTTATCATCAACACAGATTATCAAGCACACAACTCTAAAACTTACAAGTTAGACCTCCAATAATACCATCTCTGGAGCAGACGTTACATCACATCAGAGCCAAACGTTGATAGCTGCTAGTACTAAGTTGACATCTTTTACAGAAAAAACATACGTAATACCCTTGCCAGCTAGAGTGATTATGACTTAAAGGAAAATATTCGACGGACCAACTTTCAGTCTTCAAATGAAGACGGGTCCACGGTTAAACTCCGTTCTGACAATCTGGCCTAAAACTAAGAGCATCATCCTGTAAGGTGGTGCAGTTGCTTCCTCGAACCAACTGGATGGCAGCTCGATTGCTGACGCACAAAAAAGGAAACGCCGCTACCGGCAGCCGAGAATCCTTCCGTAAAGATGGCACCATATAAAGGGATATAATTTTATGGCGATGGTTGCTATTAATATGCCGGTAGTTAATGTAAATGCGTATTCCATAGCTGAGGACGCAGGAAGTCTACAGGGAACAGGCCATATGTGTGAGATTTACAGTTGGATTTGCTTAGGAATGGCAGCTCGCGACGTGGGAATTGTGGGGCTAGTGTGAAATGTATCTTTCTGATTATTCTGAATTGGTTGTATGGCAGATTTAAGGTATTGGAAGTCAAAATGAATATTTATACAGGATATTCCAGAATAGGATAGAGATTCACTGAACACAACAAAATGGCGCCAAGTAGGTTGACTCTGCCTTTCCCACACAACATAACTGAGCATCTCTGAGAAAAAACTACAAACCAGATTGGTCCAGTTGCTCGAAAATGTTCATAGGATAATAAGACCCCAATCCCAGCCCACTGAACAACGCAACGTTGCGACTTAAAACTTTTTTCTCTGATCTAGCGACCATTCGACAACGTTGTGATCATAGCTACGTCAGCGGCCATTTTACGACAGGTCACTCTTATATTTTCATTGCGCTCGACGCGGATAATGAACATATTTCTTAGCGGTAAATGTAAAAGGAAATGTCTAACAGATGCGTAGAGCTACTGGAATTAGGAGCGTATGACAAAATAGTAGATTTAGGGCCAATTTCACCAATAACAGTCCGTTATTCTCCACCTATAGGGTAACAGCCCGTCAAATACAGCGAATGAGCTTCAAGTTCCAATCAACAAATTTTAGCAACCAATAGCTATGCAATGTTGAAAACAAAATACTGTCAAAGTATGAGATGACATCTTGTCATTGAAACATCATCAGCTTATTGAATATTAAGAAATTACATATAATTCAGTCAAAATTTAAAAAAGTGTTCGATTTTTGAATGAAATTCACGTCTTTATTTAATATTGTCGATTGCTTATTCATGTTTATATTATTTTCTTCAATTGATATGCGATTTGACTGAAAATCAAACTCGCTGTCGATATATCGTCATGAAACCATCGATGCGTGAAGATTGATGTTCTACGTCCGATGTATCGATGTTTTCGATACATCAATATATCGCCTATCGTCGCCATCCCTATATTGTATCCCCACCAGTCACTAGTCAAAAATCTTAACCACCAATATTTTATCACTATTTATAATTCCTTTTAGCTCTTATTTTTCAGTAATTACTAATAATTTTAGGTCTATGTCTACAGTAATTGCATTATGCACCTCGGAGATGTAGGGATTAACATGTTTTACGCATATCGGGGTTTTAGGATGGGGAAGACCATACTGTTTTCATTGCTTTGTAGAAATTCATTAACCCATGAATTTATAACAAATGATTACTATTATGATGTAAAGAGAGATGAGGAATTGGTTGGAATACATTTTATACTCTATTTTCTTGCAAATCCGCACAATTCAATAGGAATGTGTAGCTATAATGATCACATATACGTATACACACAGTATATTGAAATTAACAAATTTCGAGAATGCCATGAATTAACAAACGACCAAACGATAAGGTATTTTCCTATTGGTCCATAATATTCATGTTGGTGAAATCGGCCCTTAATACGAAAAAGAAAAAAGGTGACAAAAAGGTGGAGTGCCGGCTTGTGCTGTTTTTCAACACGACCCAAAGACATAGAGGTGATTAATAAACTACTATAAAGAAATAGTTAACATAAATCTAACATGGCACAGTTCACAACATTGATCACCCAAAAATGAAAAGCATAAAATATCCCACTTCACAAAGGTAGAAGAAAGTCAATTAAGTGTAATCCGTAAAGAGTGGTGAGACTCAGCCATCCGATTGCTTTAACGTCGTTTTTGACGTTTTTTAAAGTTGCTTTGGCTGGATTTCCTATACTCAGTTGACAGGCAGTTACATAGCTTGGGTGCTCAGTATCTGAAACTACATCCGAACAAAGCTGTTAAATGACAGAGGGGATGAGAAAACTGCGTTGATTCCTAAACGATTTTCGATCGTACTGGGAGAGGAGGGATAGCTTTGTATAAAGGTAATATGATGCTTTAAGGAGAAGCGTCTTATGCACCAGAGTTACATCGTATATCAACCTTGGAAGCGTCCGCAAGTTTTCTTCCGTGTTCAAAGCCTACGTCCCCTGCCTAGTACAGCGTGCGGCAAAAAAGGCATTTGGACGTGCAAAACATGTTTATAGCGTTCCTTCAAAACACGCTGCTGGAAATCAATATTTCTTAAATAACTTTGAAACGATAATTCAATAAAATTTTGATGGAGTAATAAGCAGCCCGTCTCAGAAAATAATTAACTAGCTCAAATCGACAGGGACGCACTATCCCAAAGGCAAATTTCATTTATTTTCCAACACCCTGTATAATAATGGCTCAAAAATTATAATTTTGGAAACCCTAATTCCTCAGCTAAAACAATGTTTGATTCAGATGTAACGAGTCATTTTTGAGAAAAATAGCCTTGCTCAAATACATTTTTATCAGTTGTGGCTTCTGACTCCGGATCCAAGGTGTGAATTGCACCTATGAGATTTTACCTTTAAAAATATTAATCTATAGACTTTCACGTTATCCGAGTTAAGATGAGGTTATCTACGAAAGTTTGTCACAATTGTTTCTCTATTTACCTTGTACCCTTTGAAAAGGTTAGTTAGGCTATCTTCGGGTATAATACGTTAATCAATGATAATTATTCATCTCGTCACAGCAAAAGCGTCGATTTTATTTAAAAATGGTTTTAGAGCAGAACAAGATTAATATAAATTGCCGTTTCAAC